CTAACCGGATACCCAGGAAGCGCGCAACTTCGATATGGTCTGTCCATAGGTAAAAGAGCGTTAGCGGGGTGGAGTTTTGGGAGCTTACGAAGAGGTGCCGCGAGTCATGTGGTCGCTCTCCGTATGCCGGGCACTCATTGGGCACATCTGCATTCACTCTGCACAGGTACGAGTTTAGCCTGCTGAAATATCCAGAGGGTAGTTGGGTTATTACGGTGCGAATCTCCCGATCCAGACAAAGCTCTGTCCCGTCCACGTCGGGTGCCCAAAAGGGCATTCATAGGTCGGAAGTTGATGGAGGTTGAGACCTTATGGCTTGCTTTTTAAACCTCTGGACTTCGTCCGTCAGTTCGTATAGATGCTTCCTGACGTGCCTTGGCCAGGGTTAGCAGTTATCTGTTCGGATGCCCGCCTGTGGTACCCTACTAGGAACTGCTTGCAGAGCATTGTGTTATGCTTCTTGAAGGAGAGCATGTAGACCTCGTCGTGTAGGTGTTGTTGAGGCGACATCCAGTCGCAGCCCGGAGTGCCGTGCCATTCTTTTAATGGTAAATATTAGCTAGCTCCTAACCAATAGTTTTATTGCAAAGTATTGTATATATAAATTTAGCGGTCTTAAGGATCGTATGGAGAACTCTCCAATCGGCTCCCTAAATTGCTTCTTGCTGAAATTTATTTTTCTAAACTCACTTGCGATATCTCAAAAAATTTCCAATTTCACACAAATACCACCTGAAGCTTAGCTATAGATTTACCGATGCTTCAGACTCGCAGACACCTGCTTGGGGTTCTTTTCTTAATTACCCTGAGCGGGCGTATTTCACAATATTCTAATGGCGTTTTCTTTTCTCAAAAAAAAAAAAAAAAAAAANAAAGGGAAAGGAGGGGGAAGGAAGAAAAGAAAACGCTATAAAACTGTTTAGTACGTATTTGCGTCAATTGTAAGGGCTCCTTATATTTTCGCGACCGCGTCTCTATAGTGAACATTCCAGACAGTTGCTATGTAGCTTTGATATAAGAAAATATCTTTCTATAGACTCAATAAATAAATATAATAATAATCATATTTGGATCCAGGAGAAAATTTTACATTGAATATGTTAATTAATTTTTTCAGATTTTGAAGGAATTGAAATCGGTTAAATGAAGATATTTGCAATAACGACTACGTTATTTTACCTGCATTTTCTTCAGCTTCTAAGGTTGTTAGGGCCGAGTATAGAGCTTTGAAGACCAGTACGTTTAGCTTTCGAAAACTTACAACTTACAGACTCTTCTCCAGGAGAATTTCAAATCTTACTTATTATTTCATTGAATCCAATTTCTAACCTTAAATACGCCCACAATCAACATATTATATGCAATTTTATTTCGTTCTAATGTTCCAACAGATATTATGCAAGTAGATCACACCGATATATTAAACTTTATTAAAAATAATGTTTTAAAATGTCTCGAAAATTATCAAATTGACAAGGATAAAGTATATTGTTGTACGGTACATACTGTCAACAACATTGAAAAATGCAACTACACAATACAAAATTTTAATGAGGATCAAATATATGCAGTAATGGCCGAGTTCGAGGCTAACATAAGCGCCAGCAACTTAATTCACTCAACTGTCAATGATGTTTTGGAAGGTCAAAAGCCGACATTGATTAAGTACAGGAATATAGTAGAGAAACTATGGACAGCTTCTCCAGGCTATCGAGATTGTCTTCCCTTAGATAATGAGTCGGATTGGCTATCCACTTATGAAATGCTGAAGTCTCTGTTGGAAATAAGATGTTGCCTAGAAGAAGAAGTTGCTGACCATTTGGAAAGCCAACTCGATTGGGCCTTCATAACTGACGTAACAAGCGCACTCGCTCCTCTCGTAAATCTCATTAACCAATTAGACAATGAGCAATACGTTGTGGGTGACTTTTATAGAGATTGGTTAAATTGTGAAATAGAGTTGGAGGAAATCTTATCCAGATCAAAATTTGCACAGCTCTTTGTACAAACAATGCAAACAAACAAGAAGAAGCTACTCAAATCAAATGCATTTTTAACGGCTTTGTATTTAGATCCGCGTTTTAACTTTTGCACTTCTGTTATGCTCACTGAGGAGCAAAAAAGCAAAGCTGAGGTGGGTACCAATTGATGCAAGCGCATTAAAATTCTTGTTTGACATTCTTTTTTTTGTCTTAGGCATTTTTAAAAACAGCATACAAAGCAATGAGTAGCTCGAGGAAAAGTCTTTCACAAACAACGATGGACGGGCCAAGTGAAGCTAGTCTACATGCGATGAAATGTGAAGAGGAACCTAATACTTCGAAGAAAGCCTACGACAAATTGGCTCAGCGTATTATGAATTTGTCTGCCAATATAGGCGAAAGTGAAGAACCTCAGCGGAGTTTCATGCATAAATTGATCGGTTTGCTATCCAACAAAACTATGGCTCCCCTCGACACCGATGTTCTACAATACTGGAAGGCCATGAGCTTTGATGCTGAGGTTGCAGAAATGTTGCAGTCAGCGCTCTCAGTACCAGTCACGCAAGTAACTGTTTGTAGAGCGACAAGCGCTCTGGTGAATTCAAAGGAACATGCCATTAATTATAATCTTTTGCTAACCAAATATAATTTCCATGAAATAAACCAGCCAGAAGTTGAGCTAGAAGTGCCTAGGGAAGTGATACAGGAAATGTACTTTGAAAAATAGTAGATAGTTCTAAGTATGTATTTATGTATCTACATATCCCATGCCGTCTTCAAAAGAGGCAGAGTTCTAAAAGTAGATCCGAAAATATAACGGCTTGTGGATGGTACCGATTCAGCGGAATTAATACAAAAACAGGTATAAAAGTAGTTTTCTAGTTTAAGAATATAATCTTTAAGAAAAATTACCATTAATTGGAGATAATTCCACGAATAGACTTATGCAATAAAATCGATTGTTTTTCCAGTTTTGGGCCTTTTGGAGGTGGTGTGTGATGTAAAAGTGTAGGAAATACGATTTTATGAGTAAATGCGTTTAAGTATTTTCTTTCTTTTAAATAGAAAACTCATGTTAATAACGAGCGATTAGTGCGCATTTAATGTATAATATCACTTAAAAAACAGACGTTTTGAAACCATAGGTTTCTTTT